TTAACTTGATTCCGCAAACTAAACCATTTAAGTACCGCTATTTTGATCTGTTTGCTTAGAATCTAATAAAATGTTCTACAAATTAATCTCATGGATTATTACATATCATAACAGTCATTCTTGATGAAGCATGGAACAATAAATCCATACAGAACACGTTTCTTTCACTTTTTTAATAGTTTAGGCAACTATTAAAAACTAAACTTAAAGTGATTAAAAAAATTCTAAAATTTAAAAATATGTTCTACTTGCGAAAATTACACACGACATGCAAAAACAAAGGAAAATATATTTTTTAAAAGTATTAAACTAAGAAATTGATAACTTTCCTAATTTAAATAATTTACCTCCGGAAAAAAATTTATATGTCAAAACAACATTTTAAGATGATTTCCAAAAGAAAAAAAGTTAACTGCTATGCTTGCAGAAAATAGTAATGCAATGTACAGTTGTTTTTATATGCATTTTGAATTATTGATAATTTTTAAAATTACACAATATTATAATTTTTGATAAATGTATTGATTCTTACTGAAGGTTATTTTATTAATGAAACCTGGTAAAAATAATTACATGTTTGTTGATCATATTCCTTATTTCATTGGTAATAATTTTATTAATGCAAGATATTTTTCTTAATTATATTGTTAACGTTAAATATGTGAGTTACATAGTATATTAAGGGGTAAAATGTTAAAATTTTCGAAATTAATTATGTGATGCTCAATTCAAAATTTTAAATGCAACTAAAGTATTCGACTTTTTTCTTCTCTTAAATAAAATATTTAATAATTGAAATTTATTTTTAATGCTTGAAGGCAATTAAGGAGTAGCAAAAATTATAAATTTAACAAAGATATGGATTTAATTCCTGTTCAGGAATTATCCACTAATATGGAAGCGTCAAATAATGAAATAGTTGATGGTTGATTTTTAAATATTTGATAATTCGGAGAGGCAGATAAACAAAGTGAACAACCACGAAATTAACAATTAAGAGTAACCGGATATGTTCAAAATAAAAATGACTAATTCTGACTAATAAAACTTTCTTTTGAAATGTAAATACAGGTAATACTTTAATCCCAATTAAAAGTTTTGAAAAATTAAATGTCCGAAAAGAGCGAAAAGAATTGGTGAAGCAAACAAGAGGTAGTTTGCAATTTCTCAATCTTGCACTCTAAATTTAAAAATTGAAGAAAAAAAAAATAGTTGAATTTTATATTTGAAATACCGATATACCTAATGCAATTTTGGTCTTAAAAGCTTGCTTTGGATTTCAATTGGTTGTAATGCAAAATCAGAGAAAGCTTTTTCTGATTATCAAAACAACACTCAAGGCCCGACTTAGCCTAATTAGGACCCGGGGATAAAACTTCTTTGGGGAGCCCCCCTCTGTGTCAATACTTCAGTAATGAAGAACCGAACTTCATGGAGGTATTTAAAATTTTCACCTCATTATAGATAAAAAGAAATTTGACTTGAGCCTAAAATAGCTGTTAAGTCCCCCACCCTCCAATGGTCAAACGAAATATCGTTCTGTCCATTTTATTGATTCTCTGACAATTCTATGTCCATCATGTCAAATGCAGTTTTCTGATTATTTACTTCTCTTTATTATTAACTTCTGATTGTCATCTAGCTGCAAAAAATTAATATCCTTACTGACGGAATTCAGCAGAATTTTCACAATTACGATGGCTCAATTAAGCCAATCAGAAGCCTGTATTTTTGTAAACATATCGCATTTTGCGGTATATAAAAATATAGGATTTTGCTTGACCAAATTTGTCCACCTTAATTGTGAAAATTTAGCTGAATTCTGCCCCTGAAAGCAATGGATTTACGAAATATAGATTGGGTTTTTACGATTGATTAATGAAGATGCAAATATTAAACTGACGGATTTTACACAGTACTGATATTTTGTTTAAAAAATTTCATTAAAGAGGGAAACGTAAAATAAATTTAAATTCGATTTGGAGGCCTCCTCTGATATGGCGGCCTGGGGCAACTGCCCCGTATGCCCCTGGCCCCTGCCTTAGTCAGGCTCTGCTTACACTTTTTACCTGAAATCTGGGTTAAAGATTGCAATAATACACCAAGGAAGAAAATAAAGTTACAAATGAAAATTAAAAAATATAAAAAAGATTGTAAAATCAGAATCAAATAAAACGAATTGTTAAAGAAAAGAAAATTTTGGACAAAAATAAATAAAAATAAGAATATAAAAGTGCAAACAAAGTAAACTTAAAGAAAGAAAAATGAAATTAAAAATAAAGATTAAATAGCAAACTTAAAATTTAATTTTCTTGAATTTTTCAATATTCTAGAGGCTAAATATGGTAATGGGGGTCTGCATTATCATGATCAGGTCGATAGAATATTATCAATTCAAGATAGTGAAGGGAAAAAAATTGAATTTCAGAAAACTTTACAAACTTTTTCAAATATTTTGCTATTGACATGACAGATATGAAAGCTAAATAATAAATAAAGTGAAATAAAAAAGTAGTCCGCCAGAGGTAAGTAATCGAGTAATATTAATTTAGGTATCTCCAAATATAATAAAATTGTTCTGGATAAAGGGTTAACTAAACGTAAACAAGGTAAATACTTAATACTTGAAAAATTTCAAAATAATGTCAATCTTAACTACAAAATAAATAAAAAGAATATTCATAATAAGGAAAATACCGAAATAGTTCATATATAAAAGGTACCACACACGTGACAAACTAAAATTATCTCACGAATAATAAATAAATGTACTAATTTATTATATTAATATGGTTTAATAATGTAAATAAAATTAATTTTAAATTTAATTTTTTAATGTATCATCATCATTATAGTTGACCAAACAACCCAATGTGGGCCAATGCCTTCCTCTGAAGATTTCTCCATAATGACTTCCGATTTATCTTTGATCTCCAATTCTTTTCATTAATTGCAAGAAAGTTAGACTCCACCGAGTCTGCCCATCTGAACTACGGTATTTCCCGCTTTCCTGTTCCAGTGGGTTTAAAAAGCAGCATCTTTTTTATTGTATTGTCATCACTCATTCGAATCACGCGGGCCATGCAATTCATTCTATTTATTTTTATGCATTTAATAATATCGGGTTGTTCATAAATCTTGTACAGTTCAAAATTAAATCTTCTTCTCCAGTTATTGTTTCATTTGCATTGTCCAAGCCTCAGAAGCGTATGTCAAGACTGGCCCGACAAGAGTTTTGTAGATTAAGAACTTTGCTTTTCTAGAAAGAAACCTAGATTTAATAAATCTTCTCAGCCCATGGACAGCCCCATTTGCCAGATAGAGTCGGTTTTTTATTTCAGGAATCATTCTGCTGTCAATAGTAATAATTAATCCTAAGTAAGTAAAACCCCTTACTGTTTCAAATCTATAAGGATTTATTCAAAATAGAGGTCTGGGACTCTGTTTCTTGAGAATAACACATATAGTTTGTTTTCTCTACATTTATGACCTAGCCTAGCCCATTCGTCTTGCAGTCACCTCAAGGGCAAGAAATGCCTCTTTCAGAGCAGGAAGGGAACGAGCAATTACATCAATACCATCAGCATATGCAAATAGTTGTACTGATCTAGTAAGAATGTGACCACTGGTATTGATGTTTGAATCATGAATAACTCTCTCAAGTGCAATATTGAAAATAATAAATATGACGCATCAAAATAACATTTCATTAACAAATTTTTGAATCGGTTTAACTAAAAAAGTCAGCTTTTCAAAACTTAGTCGGGGATGATAATTTGATGAAAGAAACAATCTTCGGAATAAAAAAATGCGTTTTTTTAGTCGAAATAAAGGTTAACTTTTATGCAAGATAATTCTCTGATTTATTTCTAAATCATTTTATCAAATGAAAATTCGACAAAAGTTATAAGGATGATCAGTCTTTTTCCCTCTAATAGTTTTTCTTAGAATTTATTTAGAGCAATCTGAAGTCCTAAAACTCAATGAAAAATGGTGTTTAAATAGAAAAGTAATAACGGTAATTAGCTTTTGCTAGAAGCGCCATACATTTATGTAACACTTTAAAAAATTTTCATGCATAGTTACCATCATTTTTGATGTTGAGGTAAACTAAATGCGTTTTTAAGAATTGAATTGTAGTTATCGTGCAAAAAATACATAAAATTGAGAAAATAGCATTTTTTTAAAAAAATTAGCCCGAATATATCACAAAAAAATGCACTTGTTTTTTAAACGAAATATTTTTACAATGAAACATTTAAACCGATTCTTATGCGATTAAAAAATTGCACACGATTTTTGAAATATTTCAATAAGTTAATTCCTTCTCGTTCTTAAAGGGTATAACTTTTATTAGTTCAAAACTTTGTCACAAATATTTTATAAATGGCCATAACTTTGAAAGGCACCAGAAAAGTACAAGATAACTAAATAGCTATTCACTGACAATTCAAGATACGTAAAAAATAAATAAATAAATAGTTGACCAAAAGTTCAATCAAAGAAAAAAAATTTTAATTTTTATACAAAACGAACACAAATCTTATTACATTTCTCGTAATAACAAATTTCAGAAATAATCATAGTCTTATGATTTTTTCACTTCAATTCTTAACTTGCCAATATTAAAAAAGAAAAAAGAAAGGTGAAGGGTTTGTTGTTGTATCAAATAAGCATTATAAATTCCAAATTTTAAAACAATAAGTAACGCCATTCAGTAAAGAAAATTAGTCAATTCTCAACCACTGCTTAAGACATATTAAATTTAAAAATCCGTGATTTATAAAAATTGATAACAACGTGAATATATAATATTGTAGGAAAGCAGAAATACTAGGAAAAAATTTATCACATATTTCATTAAAACAAGAAACCAAATTAATGCAATTGGTATGATTCCCAAAAAATAAATTTTTTTTTAAAATCATGAGTTTATATACAGCAAAACACTATGAAAAACCCTATTTTAACCCCCAAAATTAAAATAGGAATGAACTGACCTGTTGAAAACGTGTGTATCCATTGAGGTGCCGTTAGAAGGCCTTAATGATCTTCTTCCACTGAAGAACGACCTCTTCACTACAACAAGGAAGAGATTCCTTGCTTAGCCTAAAGCAGACTAAAACCGGCTTCCAAGATCCGTCAACACGCAGTCTTCGTTTCATTTTGCAAACCATTCATTCAATATAAAAGAGATTATTTTCTTTATCAATATGTCAGTTAAAATACCAGAGGTTCACAATTTTTTCGGGTATGGAACCCTAAATGATCGACCTTCTTTAGGCAAAACCTTGATTTTATAAATAAAATTCATTAGTATTTACGAACGTTTTATTGAATAATACTACTAATTATTTTGAAAATGTTTAATGCGTAAAACATAAATTCGTTTTTATCGATGGTTATCATAAAATGAGGCTTTGTATCAGACATTCGCTGGCCTGTGGCGTATCTAGTCTAGTTCTATAATTCTCTATTGTATACATTAGCTGAAAATAGTATTAGATAAATAATAATCTGAATTATAGTTCATTGAAATAAAAATTGAAAATAACTGTCATAAACGTTGAAAATGGAAATATTTCTTCTTGTTCTTGAATTAAATTATAGGAGTTTGAAAAGCTCAACGGGGAAAAAAACTAATTCAGTTTTTGAATATCTTTGAATATACAAATGAATATCTTTTTCACAATTAATTCAATACTCTCTTAATTATTTCAGTGCTTATTACAATGTATATATTTTTACACTGTCATTTTACTTAAATTATTTCATTAAAATAACCGAAATATTAAATAAATAATGAATTGCAACTAAATATAATTCTTTAGAATAGTAATATAATTCTTTAGAAATATAATTCTTAAATATAATTCTTTAGAACCGTTTTTTAAAGGGTTATTCAAAGCAAAAAAATCATGACGCAGTTTCATTATTTTTAATACTTCACGAATAAACTTTATTAATTTTTTTAAATAAATATTTCGACAAAATAAAATTCCGATTAGTTTGAAGAAAGAAAATAGCGTTTGCAATGACTGCTGATAACGTAATATATTCTCTCTAAAACGGTATTAGTCCTGAATGAACAAAATTTACGTCATAGTCTGTTTTCCACCTAAAGAAAATTCTTGGAAAAAAAATCATGTGAAATACACAGCGAATTTTTTCTGCAGAATAATATTTTAACTTGGAAGATGAAAGTATAAAAATTTATTTGAAGAGGAAATTAAATTTTTGCAATTACTGCTTACGGCGTGATAAATTCTTTCGAAAACAGATTCATTACAGATTGGCTGAGATGAAACAAAATGTCTGTCCCAAAGAGTTTTTCGCTTTTTGCAGAAGAAAGCATAACACATATACTTTTTTCTGCATAAAAACATTATTTGCATAAAGAAATATTTTGCATATTAAATTATACTGCATAAAAAGTTTGGAAGAAGAAAATGTTGCAATTTGATAAAATTTTAAAAAGATATTTAGGCTTTTGTAAAAATTGCTTAAGCCGTATTAAATTCGTTCTAAAATAGAAATGGTTTGGTTGGAGAACAAAATGTCCGTCCCTGGCAGATTTTTTTTTTCTTTGCAGAAAACTAATAAAACTCGGACGAAAAAACTTATAAATTTGATTTCATTTGAAAAAAAAAAACTCTTTTAATAACTGGTTATAGTGTAGCAAATTCCTTCAATTATAGGATATTAGGAAATTCAATGTCAAAGTATCAAATTAATTATCAATGATGAAAATTTGAAAAATTAACTAAAGAGATGCGCATAAAAATTATTCAAATATAATATGTAAATGGCGAATTTCTGAACCACATATGAAACACAGCAGATTTTAAAAACAATTTCTGCACTCACAGTTGTCAATGAGAAATTTTAAGTGAAATATAATCTTTGGGGAAAAGATTTGCTTGTGTTTATTTATTTATTATTTTTTTTTTACTGTTTTGTTTCATATTTCATTGAAATATAGAATAGAAATTGAATTTTTATTAAAATTCTTTTTATTAATTTTCTTATAAATAATTATCTTTATAATAATTATAATTTTCTTTATTTATAAATTTTCCTTTTATTAAAATTATTACATCGTAACAATTGGTTAAAATTAAGTTGCTTCATTATGAAATGTCATGAGTTGAACATTTCCCATCTGTCCCACACTAATTCTGTTTTTACAAAAATATATCAATATTAAAATAACGTATAACATGGCTCAAACCATTTGCAAAAGTTTACATTTTTTAAGATAATTAGTTTTTTGCTCAATTAGCCAGATCCTTATTATTATTTCAAAAAATATATTTAGTCAATTTCAGAACGATCCCTTGCGTGATGCTTGCTTTGGGGTCTTTCATATGCTACGCAAGCATATTTTTGTTAATTTTCTTCTCCCCCCTTATCAGCAAAATTAAGAAAATCACAAACCTCCTCCCATGCTTACTTAGGAAAGTTGCAAACCCCCCCCTGGTCTTTTGCTTTGACTTTCACTGTAGTAATCTAATTTTAAGATTAATTTCAAATAATAAAAAATGATGTTCAATGTAACTTGGCATAAACAAAAAGTATGTTTAATTCTTTTTATATAATTTTAAGTGGAATGTTAAAAGCTTTTGTGTATTTAACCTCTGGGGTCAAATCTCTTGATCTCAGAAACATTTCAGAGAAATATTTTTCGTATTTTTTCTTTCTCCGAATTTAGCTTTTATTCCAAATTTGAAATTTTTCCACATGTAATATTTTTGTTATATTTTATATTTTTCTTTTAAGAAATTTTTGAAAATAAGAGAATTTTAATGTCTTTGATGACTCATCCCCCTATTTTAACGCCTTCTCCCCCTATGTCAGCATAAACAAGCAAATCACAAACCCTCTACCACCTTAGCTACTTACGTAATATTTGAACGACCCCTTAACTATTCTAAGTAATTTATTTTTAGACTTACCAAAAAAAAAAAAAAAAAAACGCATTTAAAATTTAAAGAATCATGAGCGTTTCGTGTAAAATTTCCGTTTCTGAAAGAATAAGATATATTAAAGCATATTTAATAATAAAAATGCACTAAAATTGACAATCATTTTTCTAACAATCACCTTTCACTTGCTTAAAAAACCCTTATTCAGTTTTTACGAATTTAATCTCGATATAGGTTACAATAATTAGCCCGACATGTTTAACTCCATGTTATCTCTTCTCTTAAAACAAATTATACACTTAAGATATCAATAAACATATATTTTATATTTAATACATCTTTCTCGACATACCTCTTTATTCCCTCTCTTGAAACAACCTTTGGCTTACGGAACATGATGAAGACATTCTGGTCCACTTATTGTACCGGCCGTAAGCAAAGGGTAAATCTAACAATAATATGTCATATTTTAATAATATATCATATATACTTAAATCTAATTTATCTTCTCTTTCAAAACTAATAACAACATCAATATTTCTTTAATTCCGCTCTCTTGAAGTAAATTTTATTTTTAATCTATATTCTCGTTGAAACAGACTTTTTTTTCCGGCTTATTTCAGGCGTAAAAATTAATCTCACACCACAAGTCACTGAGATAAAATCCATTGTTTTGTTGGGCAATTTTCAAGCTGAAAAGCAATTGAAACTGTGGATAGAAAATGCCTTTTTAATGTGCATATTCCATTTTTTTTAATTCCGTAGAATGTAGGTGCTTCTAATTTTTAAACAGCGCCTTTATCCGTTATAATGAAACGGATAAAAGCGCAATTCTTTGTAAATCCATTTATCATTTCATAATAGTAATGTTTCATTCTTTATCAATTACAGAAAATTCAGTAACACCTATATGAGAAACACCTATTTGGATTTTTATTTAAATACAGATTTTTTTTTTTTTTTAATTTTTTTTTTAAGAAATAGTGCAAAGAAATTTTAAAAAAAAATCAGGATAACTTTTGGAACCAGACTATTATAAAAAGGGGCAAATTAAAAGAATATAATTCTCTTTAGTTAAGCAAAAGAATAACAAAAATAAACTATTTTAAATTTCAAAATTATTTTGTCTAGAACAGGAAGTTTAAACAGTTTCGAGCATAATTTTATTAACGGAGTACTGAACAATTCATAATAGTTTAAGACTTATCTATAGAAAAAATTTTATTGAAAATATCAATTAATTAATATCAACTATCATTATATCATATTTAAATAATTAATGAACCCTTAATTAATACAATATTTAATTAATCCTCAATCAAACAATTTTAAATTTAATAAACACAATGAATGCTCCACTTATTATATTTGTACAAAAGAAAGTTAATGAGTTCAATGAACTTTTCAAATTTTCTTATTATGTATATTGTTGACTAGAATCGATCATTTTTAAAATCAGATGAATCAATAACTGTGAAGTTGCAGAACTCCACCTTGCCAGATATGTTACTGCATTTGCTGAAATAATAAATAGGCATATAACCCCAGGTTTAATCGCTATAAGAATTGGTCAACATGAAATTGTTAGTTGAGTTTCATAAAGTAATTAAATTACGAAAAGAAGTTTAAAATGGTAAAACCTGCGAGTAACGCTATATGCCAAAATCGCGTACATAAGTAGTGAACGATCCCTAACTTTGAACAATCAAATTTCATGATTTTTACTAGCATTATTATTTAAATTACAAGATGATGGATCGAAAATCCTTTGATTCCTCAAATCGGCATTTATATTCGCAAAAAATGGGATGTTTTGAAATGCACACAAAAATCAGGAATATCGAGACAAAAGAGCTAAAAATCAGAACAAATGGGGACAAGATATCAGGAAAATCAAGAATATTGGAATGAACTCAACATTTCTTTTTAAAGAAACAGTTTTAAATCTCAACGAAAATAAAAGCTAATGCATCCAGAAAGTACTACTGATCTAAAATTTTATTGCGTTGCGTTTGAGTCAGCAATAAACGAAGCAGATTAAAAACGCAATTTATGATTTATTTAAAAATATTAAAAAAATTAATGCTTCTAATTAATTAATTTTAAATTTCACCCTATGAAATATAACAAAAAAACACAGAAAATTTATATTCAAATAAAATAATATTT